TGGTTGAAACGAAGGGTCATGCAAAAAGACCATCTGAAAGCAGTTCAGGAGTCAATAGCAGGATATCTTCTAGAAAAAGTGCTAAATCTCAATGACGAGTTCTACTTTGATCCTAAGGAATAAATGATGTAAATTAAATGTTTATTGATATCGTTATTTTCGAGAACAAGATTATGAAAGTGTTGTATATATACATATATATATCTATAATATATATAGGTCCATACTTTATTCGAATATAATAATACTCGAGATGAGAATTAGATGTAATTATATGCGTGCATGTATTTATATTAGCAGCGTAGAATACGTATATAAAAATATATTATATATTAAACAAATACGTGTAACTGAACTGAAAACAAATTAAAAAAAAAGAAAAAGAAAAGGAACCTTTAGTCCCGGTTGGGGTTACCAACCGGGACTAAGTAAAGATGGCACCTTTAGTCCTGGGATCGTTGTCCCGGCGCGGTAACCGGGACTAAAGGCCGTTACCGTTCGGGACAACAAGTCCATTCTGTAGTAGTGAATGCAAGTGACCAGTGACCAGACAAGCGTCTCTCTCAGTTCCTGGCAGTGGCAGCTCGTCTTAGTTCCGCCGAGCATGCCTTGTCCCCTGCACCGCCACCGCCATGGCACTGGAAAAAGCAAATTACCTAGGAGACAGATTACCTTCGTTCAGCGGCAACGTCACGACGCCGGCCCGACCGCATGCCCCGGCAGCCGGCACGGCGGCACCAAAAATTTACCAGCAGCGCCGTGCGCGGTTGGTACGTAGTACTCCTAACTTGGAACGACAGCAACAAAACGCACGGCGATCCATCGCGATCGACGGGCATCGCCCGTCAATCGGTGACTCGTCCCAGCTCGCAGTCGGAGTAACAGGTGTACCGAGCTCAGACACCGCCGGTCAATCGGACGGGACATGTGGCGCTTCATGGCAGAGACAAGCTGCCAGTGCCACTAATAGTTTATTGAATGCGCAGGAGGAAGTGGATCGAAAACGGCTTCTGGAAGCCTGCAAAGGTACGTGAGGGTGAAGCAGATTGAGGCGCGTGAAAGCGATTCCCGATGGATCCTTGTCCGTCTCGCTGTGGCTGGGCTCATCATGGGAACGAACGTCATGCTCATGCTGCTCTACCCGTTGATGCAGCCAAACAGAAAGAAAACATGGGCATTTATGTGATGTCGTTTGAAGGTGCCAGAAAATTAATGTGTTCGATCGAGACGATAAACGTAAATGTGATCGAGAATGCGGGATCATATTTACATGTTGGTACAGGCCTAGCCGGAGAAGTGAACAAACAACTGCAGAATCTTATCTCTATCTTTTCCCCCCAACCACAAGTAGCCAATTTTATTGCTCGTATGGACTAGGGATGTTCAGAAGGCCGAGACGGCGCCGCCGCCGACGACTCGGCCTCTCCGCCGCGGGCTCGCCGTCGGCGTCAAGCCACCCCGACGCCCTGATCCCACAGCTGCACCACGCTGCTGCCGCCGAGCGCCGCCGTCGGGCTGAGAGGCGGAGGCAGCGACCTCACCACCTCCCACCCGAAAGGATCCGCCCCATCCGAAACGAACACGTCGCGGTCACCGTCCTCGTGCTCCTCGTCCGCATCGTCATCCTCCTCGTTGTTTCCATCTTCGTCGCAGCACCCGACGCAGCCGGCGTCGCGGAAGTACGCCGTGTACATCTCCTTGGGCGACGGCGCCGTCGGCGTCGTCGACGCCGCGGCCGGCACCGTCGGCGACCGCTGCGACGACGGCCTGGACGGCGGCTCCGGCGGCGACACCTCCGCGGCGCGAGACGACGGATCCAGCTCCAAAGGCTTCGTGGTCGTGGAGACGGCAACGGCGGCGGGCGTGGACGAGCGCAGGCGCCAGAGGCCCGCGGCGGCGGCGGCGGCAAGGACTGCGGCGAGACAGGTCCACGCGGCGGCGCCTGTGGCCGCGGAGGCCGCTTCCGGGATCGGGAGGGAGTAGAGGCGGAACGCGACGGCCTCCAAGGGGTGCTCCAGGAGGTCCATCGATCGATCGATCTCGCCGGCGAGCTGTGCGCTTCTCTCGGTCGGTTGCTTTGGACACTTGTCTGCTGCTCTGTCTGGCTGGGTTTGGTAAGCGGAGTGGGGAGAGGAAGGGACGATGAAGGTATTTAATGGCGGAGAGGTGTGGGAGGGGGCGTTGATTGAATCTGGGCCGTTGGATGCTGAGATCACGAGCGCATCAAAACGGGAACATTCTGGGTATCGGAGGTTATCCGGGAGATGCTGCGATGGGATGCCGGATTTGCATTTCAACGTCTTTATTTTCTCTTCATTCCGTGCCATACTAGTTTTAACTTTTAAGGCCTACCTACCATGAGAAATACTGCTATGTGCACATAGAAAACATGTGGAATAGTATTGTCTTGTCTATATTTCCTATATTTCATCCAGTGGAACAACTGTCTTTTAATTTCATCCGGTAGAGGAAACCCTCTTGTTTCATAAAAAATATATATCTCTAATATTTGAGGTGCCTAAATTTTAAAATAATTTTAGACCACCAACCAGTACAAGTAAATTGTTACTTTTATGATTTGCTATTTGTCTTTGTATCATAACTATCAAAATTTTATCCTTGTCTGACTATAAAAATAATTATAAATTATTAGTTGTCTTTATGCCAACACAAATTAGATTTTATTGTATTTGTGGTTTTGTCTAACAATTTTTTTTATTCTCGGAACCAAAAATTGTATATTGTGCCTACAAAGATTACAATGAACTAAAGCTGTAATTTTAATTTTAAAATTTTAATATAAAATATATACAACAATCGTCGCCTGAAAGGAAATTAAAATTTAGGTACATGAATTTTATATTATATTTAAAAAACGGATGGAAGAGGTGTCGATTAGTTATATCAATAATGAAAAAGACTTCGGCCATGCAAACAATGGCTTGAGATGAGTGATTACAATGAAAACAGGTACATATAATTATATGAATATTTACTTTCTTGCAGCCTACAGAGAGATACTACGAGAAAGCAATTCACTGCGGGGAAGCGGCTCACCATGGACTAAGAATTGAATCTCCCTTCTCCCTCCATAATATTCTTTTCACGCCATGAATTGTTTGGCAAAATTATTTGTACTATTGAAAGAATTATTGTACTTCTAGTACAGTTGTATAAACTTTGAAAAAGATTTACAAAACAGCCGTTGAATCTCCCTTTCTCCTGTGTGTGTTTTTCTTGTCGATCTCCCTTCTCTCTCTGCAATTTTTCTTGTCAACTCTTTTTCGAAACATGTACTACTAAAACAATTATTGTTAGCCCTATAACACTTATATAGTTGAGACTTGGGACAGTTTCCTGCTTCTTCCGTCATGAGTTCCACTTTGGGTTGTGGCCAAAATTGGCCGGTCTCAGAACATCTCCAAGAGACTCTTTATATCTTCTCGAGTTTATAGGAATAGAGATTTTGGTGATAAACTATCCTCCAACAACCTCTTCAATTGAATTTCTAAATGTAGACATTCTCTATTCCGATTTCTCGCTAGCCAAAGATGAAGAGCGAGAATGACTCTCTACACTAGGCACAAGATATAGAAATGTTGTTGGAGAGTACAAAGATATACAAAACAATTTTCACTCAAATGACTCTCTAAATGATGATTTAGAGAGTAGATTTTAGAAAGGCTCTCGGAGGTGTGAAGCCTTGTTGGATCGATGAGAGGAGGCTTTTTAACCTAGGCTAACAAATATTGCCTACTCACTACATGTCAAAATAAATAAACTTCTAAATTTATGTTAAATCTAAATTATTTGAATTTTGAAAAAAAAAAGAAAATGGCATCATTATATTGGACACTAAATTGACATATATACAACATGAAATATCTTTTTCTCAATATACTTATTTGCTGTTATAGATCTTACTATTCCCTATAAAATTTATTAAACTCAAGAATTCAAGATAGTTTGACTTTGGGTAACCTAGGAGTTGATTTGTTTTAGGACGGAGGAAGTATATTATGTTAACAAATATCATGTGTGTTAATTATTTTTTATGCACAATGAGGTAGCTCCCAACAACTTTAGAGTCGACTTCAAAAAGAAAGCGAGGAAAGCGGTTTGGAGTTCAGAGGCTCGGAGATTAGCAGGCTTTATATGATGCCCTTTCATTTGAGTCCAGGTGCCCCTATCAATTTTGGGAGCCGCCACCGTCAAGTCGGTGCGGTGCCGGTCCGGTCCGGATGGTGATGTCTTTCGGCTTAGGAGTATTCTCTTGCGGCGAGGCGAGAATAGCGAGATCGGGCGGGGACGATGACGACTTGCAACTTGCAAGTGATGGGGCAACTGGAACATGCGCACGGACGGTTCGTTGTGTGGTTGGAAGCAGCCCAAGCAGCGCAGGCATTTCCTCGACAGATGGATGTGCCGACTGTGGAGCACAATTCTGACTGCTGGATGATACATTTTCTAGGGGGCGCGGGGAAGATAGAAAACAGCAGCAGTATGTATAGGGGGTAAGTTTCAGTTTCAGACGTGCGTACGTAACGTGTCCGTTAGGATTTGCTGAATTCGGCCTGTGGTGTCGAGGTCAGAAATCTCCAGCTCCAGTGCGTGGCGTCTGATTGATTCAGAAATATGGCCCGCATACACGTTTCGCACGAACCACCTTGTCTATTTTTACTTACAAGGGAGAAAATTGCACATGTATGTAGTCTGCCACGTGCATATACAGAAATGGTTGGGTTCAACGAGCTACAACATCTGAGACTGCCGATCACACAAGCAGTACAACTGAAACTGACCATGACAAACAGGAAGAGGCTGGTCGATCAAACGAGCCAGAGTCGAATGATCGACAGACTGAAGGATCGAACAAATTGTCAGCTCTTAGATTACACTATAAATCCGGTACTAATACAGAGACGGATGCAGAGCATGGCCCAGAATCCCAGGTGCTGCCGTCCGGTCGCGAACTGACGAAGCGCGGAGGGGCGGCAGGCTCAGAGGCTCTGCAGGATCTTGAGCGTCTCGCCGATGTGCTTCTCGGGCTGGAACTGGTTGTTGTAGATGTACTGCACGACGCCCTGCTTGTCCAGCACGTACGTCTGCCGCCCGGGGAGCGTGCCGAACAGGTCGGCGGGGACGCCCCACTCCTTGCGCACGCGGTTCCCCTCGTCGCTCAGCAGCGTGAACGGCAGCCGGTACTTCTGCGCGAACGCCTTGTGCGACGCCGCGTCGTCGCCGCTGATGCCGATCACCTCCGCCCCGGCCTTCTTGAACTTCTCGTACGAGTCCCTGAACGCGCACGCCTGCATGCAGTATATAGTGCAGGATGGGTGGAGCTCAGATACAAACTTTCAGGCAATTTGACAACTGCGACTTGCATACATCAGTTTCAGCTTTCAGGGTGCCTTTGGTTGGGCTTTTGAGAGCTGTTTTTTTTTCTTCTTCTTCTAAAAAGTCAAAAGTCAACTAAAGACATGGAAACCAGAAGCTGCTTTTAAAGCAGAAACAACTACTTTTGGGTCCGCCTTCCCTTGGGTGCTTGCTTCCATGTTCTACAAATTGCGAGGCTTTTGCCTTTGCAAGAAACAGATATGCCTTTGTTTCAGAGTTCCTTGATATTTTTTGGAGGCAACAAAACAGATGGTTTCAGAGTTTCTTGCTATTTCTTGGAGGCAACAAAACAGATGGTTTCAGAGTTTCAGTAAAGTATCGGCTCAGGCATTTGCGCAAGAAGCTGACCTGCTTTGTGCATCCGGGCGTCTCGTCGGCGGGGTAGAAGTAGACGACGACGGGCTTGCCCTTGAACTTGTTCAGCGACACGGGCTTGCCGTTCTGGTCCTTGAGAGTGAAGTTCGGTGGCACGCTGCCCTTGCTGACCTGCAACCAAACCACGACTATCAAATCAATCAATCACAGCGAAATACGAATCCACCACCCGCCCGCACGCACGCCATTTCCACGGTGGGAGCTACGAGACCACGTACCTTGCCACAGACGATGCCCGTGGACGCCGCCGAGCGGCGCCAGCGCGGGGCCGGCGCGGCGGATGCGGGCGCCCGGAGGCCGCGGAACGCGGAGGTGGAGGGCGTGCAGAGGAGCGCCGCCTGCGCGCGGGCCGCCGAGCCGCGGGACGACGCCCGCGGCGCCAGCACCAGGGAAGGCTTGCAGCAGGCCGTAGCGGGTGTGAATGCCATGGCGGATGGAGCTTCAGGTGAGGCCGCTGCTGCTGCTGCTGCTGCTGCTCTCTAACTATGGCCCTATTGGCTTCTCCTTTCTGGTGCTACCACCGCTGGAAACAAACTTCTTGCGATGGTTGGCTGATAGGGGAGGGGATATCAGGAATTCAGGATGAGATGTGAGGGGGGTTTTGTGCCGACGTGGCACACCTTGCTGCCCTTTGCTGCTGGACTTGCTGCTGCTCGTGAAGTTTTTGGTTGTCCTGACCTTGCGGCTTGTGCCATGGCATCCAACCCCTTCTTCTAACCCATCAGCAAACATCTAATAAAACACACTTTTCCTATTAGTCCGATGCCAGAGTTCTCAGACTATACCGTATTCACTCATGCCTTGATTTTTCCTACATCAGCTAAATCTCAGCATTACATGCTTATGAGCCAACGGTGAAGATCGGTGCCTGAAATATACATACTATATTTCAGGCACCTGAAATATAGCAAGTTCCAATAAAACATTAAAAACATGGTTATAAGAATTAAAACTTTGAATAAAACACTGAACCCAAACTTTCCCAAAAAAAAAAGACTTCAATTAATTCACAGATTCACGATAAGAGCATCCCTACCGTAACAAGAGATTGTTGGATGCGCAATCAAGGTTTTGTCTGAAAAGGGATGGCCAATTTTGATTCTATTAAATGACAAGTGGCGCTTCTAATGCAAGCTTCCCACCATTGACCAACTATGTTAATCTAGGTATGTTGTACTTGCTCCGTCCTAGAAAAGAATACAATTCTGAGTTCCCAATGAGTAAAATCATTTCAAATTTGACCAAATATATTAAAAACATTTATGATACCACATGAATAGCATTTTAACTATAAAATATATTTTCTTAGTAAACCTATTTGGAGACATAAATGTTGATATCCACTGATCAAACTTAACCTAGAATTGCATACTTTTTAGATGGAGGGTGTAAGATGTTAAGGTAGGTACGTCCAACTGAGATTAAATCCGCTATCACATCCTCAATCTCACAGAAGAAGAAAAAAATACAGAAAGTTAGACCGCTCGTCTGTCCAAAAGTGAGAAGAGATGCCACTGCAGCAACTTGGTTAACAACTCCCTATTGCCTCCACGAGACATGACCATCTCCCGTGACACCATGTGAGGAACATAGGCGCCAAGAAGCAATCGGTCAAGTGTGCATAGGGAGACGTCGACGAAGGGTTGCTAGAAGAGCTAGCATATCTATTGGTTTGTAGGAAAAAAGTACCTCCAGCTCTGCCATGAAAAAGAAAGCATCCATCTCCATAAACTATCTGTTGTAATTCCATGTCTGACTCAAGAACTCCAATGTCTACTCTAAGTGTATCCCAGTACAAGCAGTGTGGCTAATCATCTATAGCATAAACTGAATAAACTCCTGCTAAGGGTGGATCCACACTAGACTATAGAATTGATGAACCCACATAACCACAATCTAGTCCACCTTACCAAACAAGTGAATTAAACCCTAAAACTTCTCGAACAGGGGCCGGATCGATCTGCCTGCTGCTCTCTCAAGCTCTTACCACCCCATAGCCTATGGTCTACCAAGTAAACCCCTTTGTCACTTGTAGAAGTTGTCATATGCCATAGTCCAAAAGCGCATGCCCATGTAGTACTCCTTAACCTATGGGAATCACAAGTTAGGAAGACAGAACAAGATGCCATGTATCTTCTTCGAGTTGAACCTTTGAAAGTCACATAACACAATCCGTGGGTACTATGTCTGCTCTGGTTGCTCCTAACCCTCCTACTTAGGATGCTCTACCTCTGACTATCTCTTGCTCATCTTCCTACAAGTGGTGGCAAGGGTAAAACTACCTCGAGTTTGAGAGAGCGGGCAACGAGCTGTTGGGTGACATTGCCTTTGGGGCAAAGGGAAGTCTGGTGACTATAGTGATACTCCCCCATTTGCTCCAATTCGATCTTGAGTAAACACTTTCCCATCTATCTCCTCTGTATATGTCTACTGACTATCAAGTGTCTACTGCTAGTGACGCGTTTATCGGGTTTGCCTCCAGGACTACTCAAACCACTACCACACCTAGCCTCGTGTGCTCGTCATGGCCGAAGGAAGGCGAAGAGCAACTTTAGTGGATTGAAGGTGTGGAGAGGTTCTTTGGTTCTACCGGCCTAGAGATCAAGTGCTCATGTCGGAGCCAACCTTGTCACCAAACCACGAGATAAACTTCGGTGTCTCTTTATGTGATTAGATTACTTGAGCTCTTTACATTCAAGCTATTTACATTTGTAGAAATGTGTCTACTTGCTTGTCACCAAAGAAGTGCAAACCTCAACCTAGACGTAGGGTGCTTATGATTTTAGTGCTTGGGGGTGTAGTCATGTTTTGGTCGTTAGTTTCAGATATGCATCTTTATCAACTAGGTTTCTCAAAAGTTTTAAAACCAACTATTCAACACTGCCACTCTAGTCTGTCTTTTTGATCCTACACTCAACCATATTCCACCTCATACTTCATAGTTGAAAGTACATCTAAGCCCCTAAGTGGGTTTTGGTGTATTGATGACAATGTAATTAAGGATCTAATGAAATTTGTCAAGTACGGACATGTAACAAATATGCGGAGGTGTATGACAACACGTGAGACCCTCCAATTCTTTTCTAAGCATCGTTTGGATCCATGAAGGCTTACTTTGCTTTTTATTTTTTTAATTTGAGTATAGGAAGCACCGTACTATAAAGGGCGACAGAAAATGCAAGCTTAAGGGGAATCATGTGCTCTCCCAAACCAACAAAAACCCCAAAGCCAAAAGAAGCCAGCTAGTCCTAATTCCTATTCAGTTCTGGCTTGCGTGAAAGTTTTGCGTCTGTTCGCGGAAGTTCCGCATCCGAGAGTGCAAAACTTCCACACTTTAACTATACCGTTGGAATAGAAGTGAAGGGGTATTTATACCTCCCTATCTTCTTCCCCGATGGTTGCCTGCCACATTCAGACTCACACCAACCCATGGACAAGCCCTCTCTCCTCCATTGAAGGCCACCCAACCTCCCCTTTGATTTCTTGGTGATTTCCATTTCTGAGGTTGTGTTCGGGAGTGGATTAGAGAGCCCTATAGCAAGAGCATCAACTTGAGAGCCTTGGTTCTCCCTCTAGGTTGCACTTTGTGTTAGTTGCTCTTGGAGCTTGGGCTCCTAGATAGCTAGAGGTTGTCTAGGTGCTCCCAATTGGTTGTAGTTGAGCAATGGGAAGTTTGTATTTCTCTTGTGAAGCTAGTGGAAACCAAAAGCTTTATCTTTGCTTACCGCTTGAGAAGAGGTGGGAATTGGAAAAGACTCCAAGCCTTTGTGGCTAAATCATGTGTCTCCTCTCTTGTTGAGTTTGTCTCTCTCTTGTTCGAATTGCAATTCTTGAGTTTTCACCCGATCTATTTGTATAGTGTACTGTAGCTGCAGGGACTAGGTGCAAAAGGAAGCTCATACCACTAGGAAGCTAGGAATTTAACACAACCCAAGTTTCAACTTTGATTCATATCACTTGTTGGCGTCTTCAGTCACCAGCGTGGAACTTTCGTGCACTTGCACGGAATATTCTGCAAAGACGTTGTTTCGAGTTAAGTTTTTATAGGCTTATTCATGTAACACCTCTGGTGTTATGAACTTGTTTAGCACCTCAGTTAAGGCCTCGGGGGATTTAGCAAAATGAGTTTTCGAATTTTAACAAGTTAAAACACACATGAAACGGAAAGCAATTTCGGTAAACAAAAACAAAATATAACGTATGTATAGTGCTTATGTAAAAGGATGAGCAAATAGTGTAGTTAAGAGTGCAACTTTAGATTTGGGAAGTGAATAGTGTTAACCAGAGTTTTGGGAGCTCAAACATCAAATCCGAGCTCTGGACCTTCTAAGACTAAAAGGAAGAAGACCATGTCATCTTGGCGTTTACATTTTAACTAAAATACTTAAGCACTAGCTCCACGGTTTCATTTTGTTGGTTGCCTCTAGGTGAGTGCTTTAGCAGGGTGTAGCCAACAGATGAGTTGGGGTTGTCGTGGCGTCGCAAAAATTGCCCTAACTTCGTTAGAACGCGCTGCCGGTTTTGTTTCGGGCTTCAGTCGTGAACGGGCGTTCAGCGCGACGAGCTCATGTTGGCATCCTTCCATTTCCCTCTCTGGTCGCTCTCTGGGAGCATGGTTTACTTTGCCAGCTAGGTGTTAGTATCGGCCCTAGGTTGCTAACTTTGGTTGAACCTCCACCGAGCTGGGTTTGAAGTTTGGCGCGCTCCAAAAATCGTGCAAGCACGTTATTCGACCGTTCGGGCCTGGGGACATGGTCACCGCGTCCAGTGTCGTGCCATCATGGGCTACCTGCACTGCTGTGGGCCGCTGCAACCACATGCTGCACCATGCGTTGGCTGGCTTACCCTATGGCCGTGACCACTGTCCCGCTGGCCAGCCGTGTGGCCATCGGCTGCCCGTCGGGCTAGGCATGGCCGCAGCCGCTCTTCGCCGTGCGCGGGATGCTGCCGACCGTGGTGATGTCCGAGCGCACATGCAGCGCTGCACCTTGTCCTCTTGTTGTTTCGGTCACTGCAGCGCTTGCCCTCCGCCACTCAACCCACCTACCCTGCTCTACCCTCGGTGCCATGGCATCACTTGCCACGTCACAAGGTCGTGCTCCCGCGTGCACATGGCCGCACAGGCACCCCCTAAAGGCTCCACCCAAGCATTAAACAATGTGACCCTTGCCCTCGCTCGTGCGGTTGTGTCCTCATGCTGCCATGCCTTGTCGGGTCTTGATCGAGTCACCTCAGTCGGGGCCGCTCCCTGCGACGTGGCAGTGATAGTGCGCCGCTCGCCTTTCCCCTTCATAATCACCAACTCAAAGCTTCCTAGCCCAATTCCTCGCGTCAGAGAGAAGCAGAGGAAGTTAGCTAGGCGCTCTGTTCTCGTCGGGTCCAGCAGTGGTCCGTCTGTGGCCAATTTTGGGTTTTGCTCGCCGCCGAC